CTCTACTCTTCTCTGGGAGCGCAGCGCGCCCTTAGTGGAAAAAGCCAAAAAAAAAAAAAAAAAAAAAAATAGAGTACAAGTTCATTTTGGTACAAAAATTTTTCAAATCTTTTTTTCTTTTTTCTTAAAAAATAATTGTTTGATTAATTTTATTTATTCATTCATTTATTTTAATTTGGCCAGAGAGATGCAGAGAGAGCGGAAGTGAGAAAGCAAATCACTAGGTCCAGGCTTGAACCATAGTCAGCCATGTGGGAGTGTCCAGCGCCTTAACCATCACACCACCTGCTGGTCCCTTTTTTTTTTTTCTTTGAGAGGTTTTTGCTATAGGGCGTGTGTGCTCGCCAGAAAGAGAGACAGAAGGCGAGAAATCATCCCCCGGGGGGATGGCCACACCGCAATCCCTTCTCCTCCATTCTCCTCTTGGGATCTTGGGCACATATGAGCTTAAGCCACCGGGTTTGGGACTCGAACTGCGCTTGACTACGTGGGAGTCCAGCGACATAGCCATTGCGCTAACTGCTGGTCCCGCAAAATCTAGGTTTTTCGTGATGTGAACTTCCTCTGAACTGTGTGGAAATGTCACATGTTATTACCCTATATTACAAAAGAGGAAGCTAAGGCACAGAGAGGTTAGGACAGCTACCCACGGTCACACAGCCAGTGCATGGCAGAGGTGGGACTGAAGCCTTTCTTGCCTGGCCTCTGTTTGCAGCAAGAGGGTCCGTTCGTCCCAAGAGGGTGAGAGTTGGGCAGGCTGATGAGTGGGTGTCGGGGGCGCCCTGCGGTGACAACAGGGCTGGAAAGGGCAGTGTCACAGCAGTGCACAGGCCGAGTCAGGACCCGGCCAGGAAGTGGGGAGCAGAGAGGAATGACTGGGATGAGAGTAGGAGGGAGGCTTGGGACCGGGCTGGGCACCCTGCCCAGACCCTCGTCCAGCCTGCCGTGAGCCGTGCTGCACCCGGGAGGGCCGGGAATCCCAGAGCTGGGTGCCAGCAGGCCTGCAGCTGATGAGTGACAGATGCGTCACCCCCCTGCACCGGGCTGGGACCAGAGCCTCAGGGAAAGCTGTTCCTGCGTGAATGAAGGGGCAGAAAGCATGCATAGCTGAAGCACCCCTGGAAATACCTCAGGACGGCTCGCACAGGACAGCACCCTGCCAGGGCCAGCCCCTCCCCTTCTCTCCCCTCCGACCCAGGATGCCAGCCTGGCCTCTGCTCCCGGCACCAGGTGGGCAGCCTGGGACCCAGAGCCCCCGCCTATGCTAGGGGCCATGGCAGAAGGACAGCTGTCTGGAGGGACCATGCACAAGGGACCCTCTAGCCCTGTGCTGTCCTGACATCCTACCTGGCCCTGAGGGCTCAGGGCGAGCCCTGACCCGCCGAGCCCCTCCTGGCTCTGGGTTCTGGCCCAGGACATCTGGCTGGGCTCTGAGTGGGTACGAGGGGACACCCCTTTCCCTGGCTGGGTTCTCAGAGAAAGGATTCGAGGGGACGCCCCTTTCTAGGCTAGCACAAGGACACAGGGACGGGGTCAGGATCATGCGTGCCCTCCAGAGTCCTGATCCCCCTGCAGCCCTCCTGCCTTGCCCTGCCCAGACCCTCCCTCCGACGGTGTGGAGCAGCTCTGTGGCCCGGCCTGCCCGAGCAAGGCCGGGACCCACCCTCAGACCTGGCTGCCGTGAGGACCAAGCCCAGCAGACTGCCGACTCTCGGCCAGTCGTCTCTCCGAGGGCCACGCACCAACACTGTGCGGTGGTACCGGGGGTGGCAGCGGTGCCTGGGTGGTCAGAGGCCAGAAAGGGCCCGCCTGCCCACGTGGGGCCTGGTTCCATGCTGGCAGCCAGCAACACAAGGGAAGGGTGACAGTCAGGCTGACTTGGACGCTGGTGCGGTGAGCGTGCTCCCAGGACAAGTGCCTGGTTACAAGGCAGGTCCAGGCAGTGCCGGCCAGGGGGCGACCTCACTCACATGTGCTCCAGCAACTAGGAAGCAGGGGCTCGCGGGGTGCATTACCTGCTCAGGAGCAGGGCTGGCAAACAGAGGCCCGTGGGCGCAGCTGTGGCCAGCCGGAGGCTCACGTTGGTCCCCATGGCATGCAGCCCCCGCCCGCCTCAATCCCGGCTTTGTGCTCATGCCAGCGCAGCCGGAGCAGGGCTCCCGGGCAAAGTATGCCCGAAGAGGCCGCCCGCTCACAAAGGGGCCCTTCTCCTCCAGCGCCAGACCGGAATGTCGAATGTCCAAGCCCAGGCCCCAGGAGGTGGTCTGCAGGGGCGGGGCAGGGTCCCCGATCACAGGTCCAGGCCGCAATCTGTCACCAGCCTTCCCGGCCCTGCCCGCCTGACACTCGGAACTGTCATTCCCTTGAGTGCCAGCAGAGGCCGCCCTCTACCGCCAGTGGGGCAAGGGCAGGAGCAGGGGCAGGGGCAGGGGTTCCCACACCTCCCACATCCCTGGGTGGGGCCTCTCCGGGCAGATCGTGCTGCGGGGTTCTCCACACTTCATCCACAGCTGGACGCCAGGGCCTCTGGCGTCTGCCAAGGCGGTAGGGGTGGGGGTGGGGGTGCCAGTGCGGCAGGCAGGGTGGCAGAGGGGGGGGGGGGGGGGGGGCCCGCAAA